TCTGTCACAGCTTTGTCACATAGATCATTTAAATTCAGTTTATTTTCTATCACTTAGAAATGTGTAAATAAAGACGATTTGTAGGGAAAAAAAGTTTTTCGTCAATATTATATACCAAAATAATTCTGCTCTGTACATAATACTGCACAAAATACCTTGTAGAGTATAAAATAAGTAATAGAAAAATGAGATGCAAACAAAAAGGTTAACACTAGATATTTGAAAATTTTTATATGTTTCTACTCTCTCCTTTCTCCTCTCTTTCTCTCTCTCTCTCTCTCTCTCTCTCTCTCTCTCTCTCTCTCTCTCTCTCTCTCTCTCTCTCTCCCCCTGATTTTCTTTCATCCTTCTTTGTTCTTTGCTTCTTTTTCCCCTCCCTCAAAAATAATTTCATTTCAATGTAACCAGAATAGTCATTTTTATTTGGTAAAAAGTCATTTTTTATCTTTTCTTTAGTTCTTATCAGAAAACTTACCAGATGTTATAGACAAAAAGGAATTGAAGTCAAGCATATATATTCTTTAGTCTTAAATGTTCCCCAAGATAATTCATACTTACATTTCTCCAAACATCAGCTTAATGACAAAAAGGGAAAAATCTCAGTGTTCCCCTTGAGTCCAAAATATGAGTTAGAAATGTGTATAATCAATAAATTACTTTTTGCTTCAAATTCCTATTACAGTAATTCTCCTTTTACCAGTTACCTATCTGGTTTTCCAGCTAAATATTGATTTTTTCCCCAAATATGTATTTTATCATGTCATTTTCCTATTTTAAAACACCAAATCTATGGTGCAAATTAATATCTAACATTTTAATAATACTTTAATGTTTGTAAAGCATTTTACATGTATTATTTCATTTTATTCTCACCATGACCCTATGAGAGTTTATAGTATTGCCCCCTTTTACAGATGAGGAAACTGAGTCTGAGAGAGGTCAAACAACTTGCTCAGAGATCACACAGCTAATATATGTTTGAGGCTAGATTTGAACTCCTGATTCTTTTCACTTCTTTACCCACTAGGCCACCTAAATGCATCAAAATCTTTAACTTGGCCTTTAGAGGTAAATACAATCTCATACCGCCTACATGTTAAACTTTGGTTCTCACTATTCCCTTGTAAAATGGGCACTCAACCTAATCTCCTAAATACACATTTTTATAAATACACATTTCTAACTTTGTTCCTTTTAGTACTGCTTACAAAAAAGAAAAAAAAACTATATTTTTTCTCCTCTTCACCTATACAAGTTCTAACCTCTCCTTCCAGGGCCAGGTCGTGTACTGTTTCCTTCATGAAGCCTTCCTAGCCCTTTCTGAGATAAAGAAACATTCCCCCCTTCTTCATTTATAGTATGTTAGAGCAGACAGTTTGGATAGGTGACATTAATAAAGAAGTGGCCTCAGAGACAAGAAGATCTAATTTCAAGTCCTTCTTGTCACATACTGACTCTGTGAACCTGGGAAAGTCACTTATCCAATCTTTCTTTCTCTCCCCATCTTGCCACTGGTAGAAGCTTATCATTGAGTGCTCTCTCCAGACTGATGAAATAATAGTCCAGTTAAAAAAAAAGCAGAGCACAATGACTTTTATACTGGAATTCCAGAGCCCTTAGTTTGACACTAATTCTGATAATGCATGAGATTCTCAATAGACTTTCCTTTCTCCTTTTATTTTATTTTTTTTTCTCTTTCAGCCTCAGAATTTTGCTGAGCTGATTTCTAAGGTCCTTTCCAGGGAGATATCCTATGACTCTTATTGGTGATTCATTATAGGTTTTCTTATGATATTCTGCCTTTGCTAATTTTTATATTATAATTATCATTATTATCACTACAATATACTTTTTCTTTATATGTCTCATCTCTCCAGAGCTAGAGACACAGGTTTAGGGCAGAAACTGAGTCTGATGTTTTGTAACCTACTCTAACCCTAGAATGGTGCCTTGAAAATAAGTGAAACTCAATTTAAAAAAAAAATTGATTGACTTGCTGATGTAAATTCTATGTACTATATCTAGGCTAAGACTTTATTAATGACACTTGGATTTCAAAGTGTGGACATACATCTTTGTTTATACATGAACAGCTACATGACTTGGCTAAATTAATTCCACATAGCAACCTAAGTCAATTCCCATGACTCATGGCCACTAGACAAAACTTCTAGGAACAAGAGACCATAAGCTGATCATGGCTTAAGAAAGAATGTGCTTGATTGCCCTCTGGGGTAATATAATGCTATATAGGGCTTATTTAGTCTTTTTACTTTGTTGTGATCTTTTAATAGAATGATTACTACAGCTTCTTTTTCTAATGTGAAATTCAGTCCACTAGAATTTGCTGCATACTGTGGTGTTTGTGTTCAGTAAAAAAAAATAATTCCAATGTGAAGCTATTTCTTTTTCATTATATTCCTGTTAATTTCCTCTGATAGCTAGGATAATTGAGCAATTATTGGGTCCAATTCATTCTGTGAGAAGCATGCAAAGTCTTTGATTTCTGAAGAGTAATTAACTGATGTACTAGCACCAGAGACAATTTATTAAGTGGATTATGTGAGCCTCTTCATTTAAATGCATCTATTTTTGCCACCACAAGGTTATCACAGATTGTTTGTTAGTATAGCCAGAATAAACTTTTATAGTTGGTAACAGAGAACCATGACTACAGCATCCTGAATTCTATAGCTCTGAGATGAAGGAGTAGAACACTTAGTATATATGCCTGAATGATAGCTGCCCCATATGGACTGCTAACTCCACTGTATTCCACTTTTCCCTGAGGGAATATTTTATATTCTAATATACATCACAAGTTAGATTTCTTATACAATATTATATATCTGAATACATGTATATGTGTGGAGGGAAGAGAGAGAGACAGAGAGACAGAGAGACAGAGAGAGAGAGAGAGACAGAGAGACAGAGAGACAGAGAGTTAATTTTTTTTTAATCAAAGCTAACCAGACAATGACTAGAAAGAATAATATAAAGAGGAATTCTCATCTGCCTTCAGTTCTAGGGCAGTAAACTGATTATTTCCCAGGAATGAAATGTTATCTTGTGTCATATTTATGTACCTACATCATACATAACCCTTAGCAGAATATGAACTCCATAAGGAAAGGGAAAATGTATATTTTTTATTGTATTCATAGCATGGTACCTTGACATGATACATATTTGTTGAATTGGACTGAGTTGAATTGAATTGATGTGAAAGTTTAAAAATTCCTTCAAAACTTGGTCCCCACTTTCCTTTCTATACATTCCCTTTATACACTATACAGTTTGGCCAAAATGACCTTGAAACTGTTTCTCAGACAAGACATTCCATTTGCCTAGAGTGGTCTCCCTCTTCACCTTTGCCTTTGTGGATTCCTAGCATCCTTCAGAGCTCAATGAAAACACTGCCTACTACATGAGGCTATTTCTGATCTTAGCAGATCCTCCTACTACCTCATTTGTGCCACCCCTCATCACTTTATATGGTATCTCAATAGTCTTAGTGTAGTTTTAAGCTTAATCTTTTTAGAAGTACAAAAGAAATAAACTTAGAAAAAAGTATATGTTGAAGGTTAATTACTTAAATTTTAAATATTCATGTTTCTTATTAAAATTGGGTATAGCCACTATTATATGCTATATATCACTCTAGTCAGTTTTCAAACTTTGTAAAAACTTTCCTCAGTTGCTACTAAGTAAATGAATGGATTACATTTGTAACCCTAGCATAAAGATGATGTAACAAAAGAGATTTTTATGTACATACAGTATTCTTTACATGACCCCGCAAGAAAAAAGTCTAAAGGAGTTCGATCAGGTGACCTAGTTGGCCAAGCAAGAGAACCTCTACAAATCCACCAATTGAAGAAAATGTCTTTCAGAAACTGTTGTAATGCCATGCATAATGCTGCATCTTGCTCAAATACATATACATATATACATACACATATTCCAACTATCACAAAAATAAATAATTATAAAAGAAATATAAATATTTAACCTCTCCAGTGATATTTTTTTATAAGTTTGTAGCACTCAAATTTCTGAAGTTATTAAAACTTAAAACCAAACTAAGTCTTTTGGGACAACTAATATCTATTTTATATGTGTTTATACATATTTACCTGGGTATAGGATGTCCCTCTTTATAGAAAGCCCCTCCTTAAGGGCAGAAATTAATTTCATTTCTGTTGCTATCCCCGGCACCTAGTATAGTATAAGGATTATATTCTCAGTCAACTAACAAGCATTTATTAAGCATTTAATGTGTCAGTCACTGTGCTAAGCATAGATGATACAATTGCAAGGAAAAAGAAAGCCTCCACCCTCAAGAAGTTTATATGGCTAAGATTGGAGAACTAGAGATAATTGACCCAGGGCTCTTGCCAAAAAGGAAGTTTCTGGGAAATACTTATCAATGGGAAAGGCCTACTATAACACAGTAAGGAGGTTAATAAATTCATGCCAATTGACTGAATGTGAAAAATATAAAGTGTTCAAATAATCAACATATTGCTATACAATTATAGATATAGGGGTAAATGTTTTGCTTTCTAGTACTTTACCAAAAGGAAATATTTTGAAATCATTTCTAACGTTATTCTCTAACATGTATTTCTATAGTAACCAAAAAAAAAGTGAGAATTGATAGTGGATTGCCTTTTGAGTCAGGTAGACTTCGGATCAAGTTCTGCTTTTGACATACTAGTTGTGTCACCATAGACGTCACTTAAGCTCTCAGTGAATCAGGAGTTTAAGACTGAGACAATGTAACAGAGCTACTGTTTTTATACTTATGAAGTCACAGATCTGGACCTTTGCTCCAATATCTTCTAAACAAACAAATAAAAAAACCAGAAAATATAATTTTTACTGTGTCAAAAATTTGAGAGTCCATACTAATAATTGATGTTATTGTTATTTATTAGTCTTTCCTTACTTAGAGATCATTTCAACAAGTTTATTTATGTAATTAACTGTCCTTTCAGAGTTGCTGTATTGAGGAATATGAAGCCACTGGGCAGAAACCAGGCCACTGACTTCTAGTTGCATGAGCTGGGCAAATTCACATGTAGGTTACAGAAGCAGCAGGTGGTGAACCTTCAAGAACTGAGCCTCAGTTGCCAGAATTTGTTGATGGATTGACATATCCCATATCACCAAAATACAGGTACTAACATTTTAACTGTAAATATTAATCTAAATTCTCATAACAATGGAAATAGGTTAGACTATCCTGTTATTCTGTGGTCAAGAAATCTAGCCATGGGGCAGCTAGGTGGCGCAGTGGAGAGAGCATCAGCCCTGGACTCAGGAGGACCTGAGTTCAAATCCAGCCTCAGACATATAAGATTCACTAGTTGTATGACTCCGGGCAAGTCACTCAACCCCAATTGCCTCACCAAAAAAAAAAAAATCTACCCTTCTTAAAAAAAAAAAGCATGCACAGTAAACTAGCATACCCTTATAAGAATAGATACAGAGAAATAAATGGCATAATTTAAGTTAAATTATCTTTACATGGTTTCTACTAACAAGCATGATGAATATTTTATCATATTGAGTATAAATTTTTCCCCCATGACCAATTTAATTTCTGGTTTAAAACTACATGTTTTCAAGAAGAAAAGCTAGGATATTTGAAAGATTATTTTATTCACAATGGTCATTTATATATCAGTATAAAAGTATGAGGGTATTTGTTTTCTTTTTTTCAAAGAAAGCCCTTTGAAACCATTATTAATGAAAGGAGATTGGGGGGTAACAAATTTCTCTGTGTGTATCTGTGTTTAATTTCATATACTAATAATCTAAGCTGACAGTATTGCAGCTGAAAACTGTTAAGCTTAATTTGTGAAGTCTGAGTAGTAACTAAATGTAAGCTCTACTCAGCATTTAAACCTAGAAGATCTATGTAGTTTCCTTTTATCACACAAGTAAAACTATAATCACCTATTTTTGTTATTTTCACAGTGATAGTACATGATCTTTTTGTAACAAGATTTTCTGTTCTCTCACAAAGAGTAGAATGCAGATAAGGGGATGATTGTTCAGTGTTGCTAAGATACAATCCTGAGGGATCAGTGGAAGCCAATTGTCTATTTGTCAGACATTTCCCATTTGCTCCCCCAATTTCATACATTCATAGATACAAAAGATTATATCTCAAGTATAAAGAATGAGATGTTAACTTTCTCAGGGAGCTGGGGAAAGAATAGTGTCCTTCACCAATTATATTGCAAACAACATGGTTTATTGTTTTAAAGTTATAATAATTCTTAAAGCCAAAAAGTCCATTTTGTCTTTCAGTTCTATATATATATATTAGCTGAGGGAAATACCATAAGAATTAAACAATACGATCTTCTAAATACAGTATTCTGTATTTATTTGAAAGTAACAAAGTATGTTAGATTAATAAATGTGATTAATGACTTCAATAACTGAGTTAGAAAATATACATTTTTATTGTTTATTAAACTTCAGAAATTATTAAAAATCCATATTTGTAGAATACATAATATGCTAAAAATAAATTGTGTGATTATAACAAAAAAAGGTCCAGAAGTTTCTGTGAAGACTAAGAATCATGAGGAATATATCTTTGCCCTTTAGGGGAAAGAACATGACAGAAGAAATGAATAAATGAATGAAAAGAATTTATTAAGCACTTAGTATGTATAAATCACATTGCTACACTCTGGGCATGCAGATATAAAAAGCTAGGCAGTTACTGTTCTCAAGGAACTCATAATTTAATGAGAGGAAACAATACATATAGGACTTTTAAGGTTCAAGTCAGTTAGAAAAGCTGGCTAATGTATGATGAGAATTTTCTTTGATGAGAACTTTCTTTTCTGGTTTTCTGGTTCTTCAGTACCTGTGGCTCCTGAGGATGGAAGATTATAACACTGGCCCAGGCAGTTGACAGTTCACATCTCTGCAAGGGTTGCTTAGCTGGGTAATGACTACAGGCTAGGCTAGTAGCAGGACTGATGATCCAGGTGAAATTTTTGTTCTTGGCATTCTTAGTTTTATGTAATCATCAGTTTTGCTGGTGAGGGAACATATTGGACCCCTCTACAATGGTTATTAACCTCAATAGTTGTTGTGGGTGCTAGCTTGGATGAAGAACCAATGGTTTGAAGGGCAAGGCAATTAACAGGATTTTATTTTTACTGTATTCTCTTTGGTTTCTCCTCTTGGATCTGAGGGAGTGAAAATAGCAAAAGATGTGGTTTCTTTTGGACAAATTTAGATTTCAAGTAGTTCCAGAAGGTAAAAGGCAAGATTCTGGGGTGAAAGAAAGTTTATGTCTGTATATTTTTTAAACAATATACCAACCATTTCAGATGTCAGATTGAAAGATGTGGGAGAGGAGAATATGCATTGAGAAAGGGGTATGGCTGAGAGAGATCTAGAGGAGAGACAGTAGAGAAAATGGATTCTTTTGATTTTTTTTTTGTCATAAGCTAGGTCCCAAAGTACCCAGAAAAGAACTGGGTATTCAGCTTCAGATGTCTAATTAGAATGTTGTGTGGCAGAACCTTCACATATCCATATGGCTTCCCTGGAGTCCACTAGAAGCACAGGAGGTAGAAGGAAGGCTTCACAGATCTGTTCTCCTTGATGAATCCTACAGATATGAGTACAATGAGAAATAGCTTAAGGCTGAACACAGCCTTGTGAAAAGCATTTTGCCAGAATATCCCAAGGCCAAAGCTTGTCCTTGAGGGGAAACATTGTATAGGTGTTGAAGACAGAATTCTGACTTCACCACTTGAGGTTACATAACTACAGAACATAGCATTGTCACAACTCCTTCAGACCTCTCCCTCATCCACCTCAGTATGCCCTGGGGCTATGCCTCTTCATATACAGGTTCTTCTACCTGCCATCTTGTATATGACCGATGGGATGGTATGCAGAAGGGCATTTAAAATGTATTTACTTTTCCTTGAAAACCACTAATTTCCATTCTCATATTGGAAGAATAGTGAAATAAGAGAGTTAATGACTTCTTAGTCCATAGTTGATAGTTTTTTATACCTTGTTAATGTCTCTCACCTGTCCCCCACTCCACTCTTTTCTCCTTCCTCTGTCTGTCTATCTCTCCATTTATGCATATCTATGGACAAAGTTTCTGGCAATAGGGTTCACACATAAAATGAAAACAGAGAACCAGATACCAAGAAGTATGTCCATATCCATGGCTGCTAGGGGGGAAAAGGAAGAAAAGTAGAGGGAAAGAAGTTTAAATTACATTTGCTATTCATTTTTCACTGAACACATTAATAATAAATTTGTCTCAGAAAGAATTCCTTCTTTCACTATTTAGGGCTATTATATTATTGGGGTTTAAAATTTTTTGAAAGTATATATGGTTGATTATATAATAAAAAAAGAATTGTAAACAAAATAGATATCCTTTGAATAGTAAATGGCTAAGCAAACTGGGCTATATTAATTGTTGAAGAATGCAAGGATATAAGAAATACAGAGAAACATGGGAAAACACGAATTGAAGCAAAATGAAGGAGAATCAGAAAAACAATATACAAAATGACTACAACAGGATAGATGAAAAATAGAAAACATACAAAACTGAATGCTTTGCAATTATAATGGCCAAGCTGGGCCACAAAGAACACATAATGTAAAAACAAAGAAAACAAAACAAAATAAAAACCTCCTTCCTTTTCTTGTAAAGGTCAAAGTTATCAGTGGGGAATATTGCAAATACTACCAAACTTGATTGATATGCTGTTTTGGTTTCCGTTCTTCTTTTATTATTAGTTACAAGGGGATTATTCTCAGGAGAAGAGAGGTAGATATATATATATATATATATATATATATATATATATATATATACAGTTTAACCTTCAATAGCTTCAAACAGCATTAAGTCTTTTGTGATACCCTGTGTTTGGAAATAAAGTTAATATGAAAACAAAACATATCAATTTTCAAATAAAGCATATATAGTTTTGAATTTGGTTCAGGAAAAAAAAATGTTGGCCCCTGGAAACTCCTAGGGTAGTAATTCATGAATTCTAATACTGTCACAGATGGCAGCATAACAATGGAAAAAATTACTATATATTCTCAAAAGACTTATTTTGATGTCTCATATACAATGTTATACTATTTTGAGATCATCCAAGTCTCTTTGCCTCTGTTCCTTACTCTGCAAAAAAAGCAAGAATATCTACCTTACAGAGAAGTCTTGAAGGATTTTTTTTTAATATTAAGTGGAACAATTTGGAACTATGCCCGAAGGGCAATCAAGCTGTGCATACCCTTTGATCCAGTAATACCACTACTGGGTATGTATCCTAAAGAGATAATAAAAAAGGGAAAAGTATATACATGTGCAAAAATATTTATAGCAGCTCTTTTCTGCGTTGACTAAGATTTGGAAATTAAGGGGATGGCCATCAATTGAGGAATGACTGAACATTTTGTGTATATGAATATAATGGAATGATCTTGTGCTGTAAGAAATGATGAGTAGGCAGATTTCAAAAACAAAAAAAACCCTGGAAAGCCTTATATGAACTGATTCTGAAAGAAGTGAGCAGAATTAGGAGATCATTGTACATAGTAACAGCAATATTGGCCAATGATCAACTGTGACTAACTTAGTTCTTCTGAGCAATACAGTAATCCAAGACAATTCCAAAAGACTCATGACACTAAATGCCATCCACATCCACAGAAAGAAATGATGGAGTCTGAAAGCATATCAAAGCATACTATTTTCATTTTTTGTGTTTTTTTTCTCTTCATTCTGTTTCTTCTTTCATAACATAACCAATGTGGAAATATTTGTATATGATTGCATATACGTGCAAAACATTTATCAGATTGCTTACCGTCTTGGGGAGGGGAGACAAAAGAGAGAGAGGGAGAAAAATTTAGAACTAAAAATCTTAAAAAGTGAATATTGCAAATTGTCTTTACATAGAATTGGAAAAAAATAAAATACTCTTTACATAAAAAGATTAAGTGCTGCATCAATGGACCCTGTTATTATTGTAATAGAAAACATGAAGACCAGCAAAATAAATGATGATTGATCTTCATATTCTGAGAGTTTTCTCCATCACTTGGACATATAGACATTCTAGTTTGTTATCTATCTAATCTGGCAGTCTTCCTCAGAAT